GTGGTGATTTGAAAGAAAATGGGCTGTAAAGGGAGTGGCAGTGGATAACATGCACAGAGGATAGCAAGTACTGTGGATAGCAGTAGTTATCTGCAGAAATGTTATCCGCAATGCTATCTGCAGTGTTTGTTATCTGAGGTGCTTGTTATCCACAGTGCTTATATCCATGGTGCTTGTTATTTGTGGTGCTTGGAATCATGCCCTAGGAACTGGTCCCATGTATAAAAGTTGGTGAAATAGTTTAGTACACATGATAACATAATCATGAGCAATGCAATGCTTATATGTGACTTCTTTAAAACCCTAAGGAGAAGCCGAGCATTGGTAGTGGCAGACAGATCTCTGTGAGTTTGAGTCCAGCCTGGTCTACAGAGCTCATTCCAGGACAACAGACTCTAAAGAGACTCTAAAGTCACACAGAGAAACCCTATTTCAAAAAGAAAAACAAACAAACAAACAAACAAAAAACAGGCTTGAAGGTGGCAGCCTACTAAGAATCAGTAAACATGGCCAGAGTGTTGGCACACATTTTTAATCCCAGGACTCACTCAGGAGGCAGAGGCAAGAGGATATCTGTGAGTTGGAGGCTAGCTTGGCCTGCCAATGAGTTCCAGGCTGGCCAGAGCTACAAAGTAAGACACTGGCTCAAAAATCAAACAGCAGCAAAAATGCTAAACGAGCAAAAAGGGTTGATAAATATATATTAAGTTTTAAAAGTAAAATGCTTTATAAAAGCAGCAAATGCATAAGTTATAGCATAAGCCAACATTATACTGTATATAATATTAAAAACAATTTTTGGGGGGGCTGTGTTTTGAGACAGGGTTTCTCTGTAGCTTTGGAGCCTGTCTTGGAACTCTCTGTAGACCAGGCTGGCTTTGAACTCACAGAGATCCACCTGCCTCTGCCTCCTGAGTGCCGGGATTAAAGGCATGTACCACTACTGCCCGGCTCAAAAGCAAATATTTAAATGAGATATTTTGACAGCTATTGAGCAGAACAGAAGAAGGGACTGGACTCTGGCTAGTATAATCATACCTCTGTTTGTACAGCAATTCCCCATACCCCAGTCCTATTCCAACAAATGTACCAGTCTGACTGCTGTGGTCAGTGTTCACTCCAAGCTGTCTGTAAAGTGCACTGTGGCATGAATATACGCAATCATATAACCATGACAGCAGTGTGTCACAGATGGTGAATTTACAATCTGTACTGAGATGTCTGACTGTTCCTAGGTAGGCAAGTGGGCTTATTCAAGTTCAGCACCACACGTAAGAGTAGGTGACTTCTGTTGATATTATATATACCCTATTCCCTAAGTAAGTGGGTTCCTGCATGTGTCATACAGTGAAGGGAACTGTAGGAAGAGATAAGAATGAGAACCCCGTGCAGACTGACTTCATCAACCTGGATCAGACTTCAAGGAGTCTAACACCAGGCAGTTCATTGTCTGTGGCACCCGAGCCACAACTAAGTCCGAGTATTGGGCAAAACCTGGAGATTTAGTTAAACACAGAGATGTCCAGCCACTTGTGCTATGTGTGTCTTTCCATCTTCATTCATCTGCCCATTTTCTAGGGAGAGAGCAGCCTTATATACACTTACAGCACAATGGAAAAACCCAAGATATAAGAGCTCCTGGAGCCAGGCGTTTGTGTCGCACGCCTTTAATCCCAGCACTCGGGAGGCAGAGGCAGGTGGATCTCTGTGAGTTTGAGGCCAGCCTGGTCTCCAGAGCGAGTGCCAGGATAGGCTCCAAAGCTACACAGAGAAACCCTGTCTCAAAAAACAAAACAAAACAAAACAAAAGAGCTCCTGGAAGAAGAGCTCGTGTTTTCTCAGGTGTAGTGGGGCAAGGCTGGGGCTGTAAGCCAGGACTAGAACACAGGATGCACCTGTGGTTATTGGCTGACAAGCAACTCACAGAGACCCTGTAGGGTCTAGGACCCAACAATTGTCAGCATATTTAAGACTCGGTGCAATTTTGGAAAAGGTTTTCAGGCAACAATCAGTCCAATTCCAGGTACACAATAAAGCTTAAGGTATGACTGCATAGAGACCATGTGGCCATGAGGGGTTGTTCTCTAGCTAAAAGGCCTAGAATCTAGTGTGGTCTCTGACAGATAGCATAGAGGTCAGCAGCCATGAAGTACATGAGGGAAGAGTCTCAAATAATCATTCTGGGGGATTTGGGTGAGGTCTGCCACCACAGATAGCAAGGTCACCAAGTCATTAACAAAATCCACTCCTCAGCTTTCTGGATGGAATGCAGGTATTTGATTTTTGTCTTCTCCACTGAGGAGACACCCCTGCATTCCTGGTTCTCTTAGGGCTTCTCTGTGAGCACAAGGACCTCTGGGCCCCCAACATTTTCTCACTTCTAATTTTTAAAAAGAAAAATAGTGGCCATAATAGATGCCAAGATTGAATGCATCAACTCTTTTTTTTTTAAGATTTATTTATTTATTTATTTATTATGTATACAGTGCACCAGATCACATTACAGATGGTTGTGAGCTACCATGTGGTTGCTGGGAATTGAACTCAGAACTTCTGGAAGAACAGTCAGTGCTCTTAACCCCTGAACCATCTCTCAAGCCCCTGAGTGCATCAACTTTTAGCTAGTCAAATAATATAAGCAAGAATAAGATAATTATTAGAATAGCTAGCAGTGGACTGAGGAAAGGGGAAGTCATCCTTAATTCACCCATCTCTTGATTAATTTCTGCTAATATTTTTTGCTGTGAGCAAAATGGGTGTAATACAGCTATGACAAGGCCATCATGCAGTGCTTCTAGACCTAGGGGCTCTCAGGGAAGACCAGTAGGGGTATAGATGAAGAAGGGTTCCATGGGAGGTAACCTCTGAACTGCACCTCTAAGGGCCAGTTACTCCCTAACCAAGGCCTGGCCGTGAGCAGGAACAGAATGTTAGAAAATTCCAGAATGCATAGAAAAGTAAAGCCAAGACAAACTAGCCTCTGGAGGAATGATATTAGGAGACTCATGGCCATAAACAATCATGATGAGACCCTAAAGTGGGTATCATTTAGGGGAGAAAGTATCATGGCTGTAAGTAGCCACAATGTGGCCCTGAAAGGACACAGTCCCTTCAGTTTCATAACACAAAGGTAGTTTCTGACTATCAGGTTTTCAGAGGCTGTGGTCAGGTTCTAAGCCATGTGACCTTCTCAACACTCTGCTGAATACTTGGCTATGCTTTTAAGTCAATAGGAATTCTAGGCCTCTGATGGCTGTGTGCTACTTCTGTTACCCACTTCTGCTCCAGATCCCCTCAAAGCACAGCCAGACATCATCTAACAGAGAACAAAATTGATTGCTCCATGGCAGTATCCCTACCAAGACATCTATCGACCATTATAAACTACATGAAAGAGCAAAGTACATGCTGTACAGATGTAAAAAGTTCAAAATGAAACACCTCATTTTGTAATTAAGAAATTGTAGGTAATTAAGAAATATGAATTAGGAACTGGAGAGATGGTTTAGCAGTTAAGAGCACTACCTGCTCTTCTAGATGACCCAGGTTCAATTCCTAGCACCCACATAGTGGCTCACAACTGTAACTCCTGTTCCAGGGGAACCAACAGACACACGTGCAGGCAAAACACCAATGTACAAAAAAATAAGTGAAACTAAAAGAAATTATATAAATATGAATTACTAGCTAGGTGTGGTGGTGCATGCCTTTAATCCTAGCACTCAGGAGGCAGAGGCAAGCAGATCTCAAGTTGGAGCCCAGCCTGGTCTTCAGAGCAAGTTCCAGGACAACCAGGACTACACAGAGAAACCCTGTCTCAGAAAAAGCAAAGAGTAAAATTTAGAGAAAATAGAATGATGTCTCTCATAATAATCTGGTGCCTGAACTGAAATGCATTTATACTGGTTCCTTCCAGGGATGACAGGGAAAATGAAATTGTTGGAAGTCTTGGTTGTAGTTGCTCAGTTTGGGTTGGGTACAAGGAGCATACATTAGGCTACAGGGAAAATGAGGGCACAATAATCACATGACCTCCACCTGCCTCTTAATCACTCTCAAACCAAGACACCTGGAGGTAAAATGGTGGCACACCTGACTCAGCAGCTCCTGTTAAACAGTAAAAGCATTTTAAATCTTTGGAGGCTGGCATGGGCTTATCGAGTAATATGCAGTAATAAATATTTGGGAAACTAAGATTCCAAAAACTCTGCCTCCAAAACAAAAGGAAATCACAACGCAACTGTCATCCGAATGAGGATGACCAGGGTTCTTATCTTCCTCACATCTTCACAAAACTGATTCCCACAAACAACATGGTAGCTAGTCCCAGCTCCCTGTGGGAGTCTGAAACTACAGAGACAAGGTACATATGGGCTTGGTCTATGTTTGTGAAGTAGCCTCAGCTGGGAGCATCTCAGGAGACTAGCTCAAGTGAATGTATGTACCTATGGGAGCTTCAATGACATCTCTACCTCATGCCCAATAGGGACCCCAGTGTTCCAAGTTTCCAGTGGTCAGGTAGACTTGTCAGCACTGCTAACAGAAGCAGAGTGGAGCTCAGGACAGAGAGGATTCCTCTAGGAATCAGCAAGACATACAAACCTTGCCAGGTATCATTGTATTACGGTTAAAAATGATTTTTTTAACCTTAACCAGAAGATACCTACAGAGAAAATAGCAGTTTAGACTGAAAGAAGAAATTCATGCATACATGACTTAGGAACTTAGAAATAAATGAAATTAGTCAAACTTGTTATGTGTTTCAGTAACCACTTCTGCCATTTAGTTTAAAACATGGCACAATTGCATAAAAGACTTCTAAAGGCAACCACAGTTCAGAGCTGGAGAAGACAGGACACAGCGGGGGTGAGGGGGCATTCTACAAACCCTCCTAGCTCGCCCTGGAGCCCATATGGATCTTTGAAAGTAACACGGAATTAACTAGACCACTGGAGTTGAGTTAAGTCAAGTCACCAAATTAAATTTTCAGAGCCAGCAGTATACTGGGCAGGGCTAGGATGCTGACAGTCTGAAGACCCGACAACCCCGCCCCCTCAGCCATGGCCCCAGCTGTTACTCGCTCTGACTGGGGGCGTGGCACACAAGGGGCGTGGCCGGACCGCACATTGAAAATCTCGGCTGTTAGCCCCGCACCGTAGTATCTCGTGATTGCAGTCTGAGAGTCCCAGTATGGAACCCAATGCTACTGAAGATCACGCGGAGCAGAAGAGTCCAACGCGGAACCGTCCTTCTAAGAAGCAGCTCAGCACCCCTTCTGTGTTACCGCGGCTTCACGTGCGGCCCTGGTGGTTCCCAGAGCAGGAACTCAGCGATCCTCTCGTGCTGTACATAGAGTCCTGGCTGGCAGACGTAATCTTTGGTGAGCCTCTAGGGGTCTGGGTTAGCTCCCTGTATTCTATAGGGGCAGCAAGTCCATACCTCATTCCCCAGCCCAGTATTCCATCAAGTCCATCAGAGCCTGCCCCTTCCCCCGCGAAGTCGTTCTACTTACTGATCAGACTCTTCTACCTTTTTAGGCCCAAACCAATCCTTACTCCCCGAATTAGAGTGGATAAGCCAGGCTTTGGTGACAATGGACATAGTTGACTCTGGCAACTTAGCTGAAATCACCATTTTTGGACGACCCGCCGTAAAGAATCGATTGAAAATCATTCTCTTGAACCTGGTAGCATGGCACAAAGAAAACCGCCACATTGTAAGAGGTAAGGGCCTTTGAAGACCCTTTGAAGCCACAGGACGATTCCCAGCTTCTGGAAACTTTCTCACAACTTCAAGTTTCCAAACACCAGGCAACCGTAGTGTCCCTGGGGATCCCTTTCGGAGGAGACCCTTGAGAATGAAAGCACAGGCTGGATACACCCGGGGCCATCACCTTAGGTATCACTCTTCCCAGATTCCAGGTCCAGGACCAGAGCCGCCTCCCTTCCCAATCAGGGGGAGTAGATTCCATTTCCCCTCTTGACTGGTAGTGTTGTCCCTCTTTCAGCTATGAAGATGAAAGAACGTGAGGAATTATTGAAGTCCTCTCCCTCCAACTCAAACAACCTGCCTGAGCCAGTGCAGAAGGCACCTGCTGACTGACAGGCAGCCCGACTTCAGCCCCTGGAGGTGAAGAGCAACATGACAGATTCTTATAGTCACTATACTTGTTTTCTTTCTTGCCTTTGTGGATACCTGTTGGTTTTCCTTTGCAAATAGCAGTTTGTAGAACTATTCTACAATGTAGAAATGACTTTTTTCATCACATACAATAAATTTAAAAGCATCATAGCTATCAGTTGATGTGAGGTGTGTATAGGTTGTACTCCTGCAATTTCTAATACACAACTTCAGTCAGGCCCTCGAGGATAACTTTATTAAGTGCAGTGGTATTTTGCCTGTAGGTATGTCTGTGGGAGAGGTGGAGTTACAGACAGGCGTGAGTTGCCATGTGGATGCTGGGACTTGAACCCAGGTCCTCTCAGTGCTCTTAACAACTGAGCTATATCTTCCCCAGCCCCCAACCCCTTTGTACACACCCCACCCCTCAGGACAGGATTTCTCTGTTTAACAGTCCTGGCACTCTGATTTGTAGACCAGGCTGGCCTTGCAGAGATCCACCTGCCTGTGTCTCCCGAGTGCTAGGATTAAAGGCGTGTGCCACCACTGCCAGACCCCTTTGTACTTTTTTTTTTTTTAAATTTTAAGATTTTTATTTATTATGTATACAGTCTTCTGCCTGCATGACCAGCAGAGGGCACCAGATCTCATTCAAGGTGGTTGTGAGCCACCATGTGGTTTGCTGGGAATTGAACTCAGGACCTCTGGAAGAATAGCCAGTGCTCTTAACTGCTGAGCATCTCTCCAGCCCCCCCCCCTTTGTACTTTTTACCTGGCTGATTTTTTTTTTAAACAACCTGCTGGCTGTTCTCCTCCTTCCCCTCTTCCCTACCCCACTTCCCATGCACTCCTCAGTTTCTCTTCAGAGAAGGGCAGGCCTCCCATGGATACCAATCAAACATGGCATATCAAGTTGAAGGCTGGATGAGGCAACCCAGTATAAGCAATACGGTCCCAAAAGTGGACACAAGTCAGAGACAAGCCCTGCTCGCACTCTTGGGAGTGTATAAGAAGACCAAGCTGCACAACAGTAACATACATGGTCCCTCTGCAGTGCCCAGGTCAGTTCCGTGCAGGCTCCCTGATTGTCTGTTCAGTCTCTGAGCCCCTATGAGCCCAGGTTAGTTGATTCTGTGGGTTTTGTGTCTTTGACCCCTCTGACCCCCACAATCCTCCTGTTCTACAGGAGTCCCAATTACTTAGTTGATTTAAGGCAGTGGTTCTCAACCTGTGCGTGGAAACCTCTTTGGGGGTTGAATATCAGATAATTTGCAACATCAGATATGTTTAGACTCTTAACTGTAGCAAAATTAATTACGAAGTAGCAACAAAATCATTTTATGGTTGGAGGTCAACACAACATGAACTCTGTATTAAAGGGTTGCAGCATCAGGAAGGTTGAGAACCACTGATTTAAGGTGTGCAAGAATTCACTTTGGGAGTCCTCAAAACAATGTCCCAGGGATTCCTGGGGATTTGCATCTCTAACAATCTCAGTCTGTTGAAACACCCCTTTAGGCCAATCATCTGTAGCTGCTGGAGGGAGGGGGCAGGCTGGCCTGCAAAGTTGCCAAGAGTAGTCCTTGAACCTATCAAGCCACTCCTAGGAGTTGTAGTAAGAGCTCCAGGTTGCAGCTTTCTTGTCATCCATGTTGGGTAGCCATGCTGCAGATGCTTTTGAGTCACCACTGCTCCTGTAAGCCACCCTCACCCAGACTCCTGTAACTCCAATTAAAGTCATTGGTTCACCAGTCAGGATTTGGATGCAGTAATAACTTTGGTCTGTTGTGGGTTCCCTTACTTCGGTGAGTAGACTGTTCTGTGTCACCCTAGGATAAGTCTTTGTCACAACATCCTGATGTCTGGGATATGATACATACGTTCTTCATGGACCATGACACTGTGATGGTCAGTCTGTAGGACCACACCTACCCTTCCTGTCACCACTTTAAGGAAGTGGGATTCCTGGTACAGAAAGTACATGAGGCCTGGCTTGGGGACACAGGCCTGTAACCTTGGAAGCAGAGGCAAGCAGATCTGAGTTCAAGCCCAGACACAAACCTAGTAACCAACAACTTCATATTGGAATTAAAGATGAATTTCTGTTTAAGCCACCTACTTTGTGTTATTTTGTTGTGGTAACCCAAAGGTTTTTTTGTTTGTTTTTCCAGACAGGGTTTCTCTCTGTAGCTTTGGATCCTGTTCTGGAACTAGCTCTTGGAGACCAGGCTGCTCTCAAACTCAGAGATCCGCCTGCCTCTGCCTCCTGAGTGCTGGGATTAAAGGCGTGTGCCACCAACGCCGGGCTTCAACACTATGATCTAGGTAGGACATGGATGCCCTGCTTTTTAAGTCAGTGCTGGAAAACAAACTTGGTTCCTTGAGTTTTAGCAAGTGCTATACCTACTAGCTGTATCCCAGCCTCATTCTGTTAGTCTCCCACAGCCTAGATGGGGATGCTGGATTGAAACATATCCACTCTGGAACTTAATATAATTGATATATGGCAAAGAATGACTTTACGTTCCTGATCCTCCAGATTCCACCACCCCAGACTGGGATGAGAAGTGTGCATCACCATGCCTGTTCTACCCTGAGGATATTTAAGTAGAGTGAGGCTGGGCCAAGTTGGTACATGCTTTTAATCTCAGCACTCGGGAAGCAGAGACAGGTGGATCTCTGTGAGTTCAAGGCCAGCCGGGTCTACAGAGTGAGTTCCAAACAGCTAGGGTTACAAAGAGAAACTCTGGCTGGGTGGTGGTGGCACATGCCTTTAGTCCCAGCACATTGGAGGTAGAGGTAGGTAGGCAGATCTCTGTGGATCTTTGAGTTGGAGGCCAGCCTGGTCTACAGAGTGAGCTCCAGGACAGCAAAGTCTACACTGAGAAACCCTGTCTGGAAAAACCAAAGAGTGCTCTATCGTTCTCTTCTTCACTTCTGAAGATCCATGTTAGTTACATATTAGCTTTATGCCAAGCACCTAAACTGGATGCTTTGAATGCAAACACCTGACTCAGCTCCCAGAGCTGGGACAGCAGCACCAGGATAAGATATGGACAAAAGCAACAATTCCATGATGCAGGCCTAGCTGTGTCTGCCCTTCCATTTGCTCTTTCTGCTTTATGTGTGCTGTGTGTGGAGTGAGGAGTTTGCCTAGGCCACAAACCTGTGCAGAAGTCTGAGAGCAGCTCTGTAGTTGGTTTCCTCTTTCCTCATACCTTCTATGTGCTCTTGGGCTCATATTTGGTCATCAAGCTAAGGAGGCAAGCTCTTCACTGCAGAGCCATCCTGCCAGACCCTCTTTTTGTTTGAGCATGTACAAAGATTTTATTTGACCAAAAAACTTGTTGAGGAACAAGTAAGACAATATAACGGGTCTGAAGGATGATACAAAGGACAGAGAAGGAAGGACACAGGCTATCACACATGCTGAAATGGGTTTGCTAAACAAATTGACCAACTACACATACACACTTCTGCTACATTTTCCATGTAAATTAACAGCTGCAAAGCCCTTTTAAGCCCAGTTGTTTCTCGGCCATTATGCTGATTGCAACCAGATTTTGAACTCAAAACAACTCAAGACACCTTCAAGACACCTGAGTAGAATAACAGCTCAGAAAAGGTTTCCAAGGAGTAACTCAGTGCTGCTCTGTCCAGAAGCCAAGCGCACTGGGCTCTAGAAGTATCCGGAAAGCCTCTGAGCTGCAGGGTTCCTGGGTAGGGTTTTAATGGTGATGGCTAGGTCCTACCTGCCCCAGGGAAGACAGAAGCAAAGTTCAAGAGCTCTTGGCTGCTGCAGGGGGAATGATGTTCCCTTCCTTTCTTTCTTGCAGGTAACAACATTTGCCATTTAAGCCTTTTTTTTTTTTTAAAGATTTTATTATGTATACATTTTGCTTCCATATATATATCTGCACACCAGAAGAGGAAACCAGATCTCATTACAGGTGGTTGTGAGCCATCATGTGGTTGCTGGGAATTGAACTCAGGTCCTTTGGAAGAGCAGTCAGGGCATTAACCTCTGAGCCATCTCTCCATTCCCCCATTTGCCATTCTTTTTTTTTTTTTTCCGAGACAGGGTTTCTCTGTGTAGCTTTGGAGCCTATCCTGGCACTTGCTCTGGAGCCCAGGATGGGCTCGAACTCACAGAGATCCACCTGCCTCTGCCTCCCGAGTGCTGGGATTAAAGGCGTGTGCCACCAACGCCCAGCCTCCATTTGCCATTCTTGTTTGAACATTTTCAGCTCATGTTTCCAAACATTTAGCACAAGGTGTGTGTGGGGGGGAATGGGGATTCAAAACAGCGGACTCCACTTTTCCCAATGTCTAGGGCAGAAACAGAAGTACTAGGAATGGCCGCTGGAGATTCCCATAGGTCAAAAAAGAGCTGGGTTCCATTCTCATGGATTCCCTGGAAAACTTGCTGAGTGGCAGCCTCTGGGAACTACAAGGAGTGTGTTTGGTGACTTCAAGGACTGCTGTGACTGTCTCAGGGTTTCTTTTGCTGTTACAGGACTGCAGATGCCTTTAATCTCAGCACTCGGTAGGCAGAGGCAGGTGGATCTCTGTGAGTTTGAGGCCAGCCTGGTCTACAGAGTGAGTGCCAGGATAGGCTCCAAAGCAATACAGAGAAACCATGTCTCTCTGGAGAAACTCACCAGGACCAAACCAACTTGAGCAGATACCCTGGGAAGCCAGGAGCTGATACAGAGACCACGGAGGAGTGCTACTTACTGCTTTACTCTCCGTGGCTTAGCTTTTTATACATCACTCCATGATCACCTGCCCATGGCTGACACCACCCACATGGGCTGGGCTCTCCCACATCAATCCCTAATTAAGAAAACGCACTACAGACTTGCCTACAGGAAATCTTTTTTTTTTTTTTTTTTTTTTTTTTTAAAGTTTTTATTTATTATGTATGCGGTCTTCTGCCTGCATGGCCTGCAGAGGGCACCAGATCTCATTCAAGGCGGTTG